TATATGTGTATATCATGGAGATATAGAGTTATATTAATGCTTCACCATGATCCTATATTCAATTGCCATAATTTGTAAATATTAGGTCTTGAAATCAATATAATTATGATCCTATATTGCCAATATTATTGAGTTTACCTTCACAATTACTATGAGTTATGAATGTTAGATCTTGAAATTAATATTTAATCTAGGTAAAATTAGCAAAACACTTGGGTTGTATACAAATGGGACAACAATAGCATTACAACTTTTATCATCATCCATATATAGAGTACAAAGTAGATTACCTAATGTTGATTTATCTTTCCTATGCAATTTATTTAAAGGGCTCATTGCTCAGAGGAAGTGATTATATTAAATATTGTGGCAAATTGGGCCACAAGTTCAATATAACATTCAACATGCTAATCTTTTAGAAATTTTATATATTTTAATTATGTAGTGATTGAAACATTTCATAGGATCAAAAACAAGTTGCACCACATATGGATCCATTAATGCCTTGTCTTAATATTCCTCTTATTGACCAAAGACCCTAATTGCATTCCATCCCTTAAAAAAGGGTGGATGATACAAAGTTTAATTGTATAGTTATGATGTCATATATTATTATTGATATAGTTTATTTATCAAATTTGATTCAATTCAAACCACTCACTTCTGTATATAAGTTAGGGTTTTGGGCTCATATGAATATGCACATTTCTATATTCTAATGCTATATAGATAAAAAAAATTGTGAAAAACATAAAATAAATCATAAGAATATATTGTAAAGTGTTAAAATTTTAAATTATGGTGTTATATTATATATATATATATATACTTAATTTTTATTTTATTTTTTAGAAACCAAATACTCAATAAAAAATACTATATTTATCTTATCAACATTTTTATCATAATTTACAATGACAAAATTAAAATCGATTATTATACATTTTATGTATCAACACTTGGTTTTTTAATAGTAGTGCTTATTATTTATTAATATAATTTATTAATCAATAGTTTATTATTATAAATATATTTATAATTTATCAACAAAAAATTAATATTATTACATATCAACAATAAGATGTTAAAATAAACTAAAATATACTAAGAAGTATTTTGAAAATTTTATAAATTATAAATACAAGATTAATCTAAATTAATAACAACCATTAGATGGTAGAATATCCTAGAATATCTAAGCGTATATTAACTACCACAAGCAAACAAAAAAATCAAGTTTGGCAAAACTGTAGAACTGATGATTTAACAAAGATTTTTTAATGAATTTCCAAATATGTTTTATAATGATGGAAATATCTGGATATTCTAAGAGAAATTTAAATATTTAATATTCTATTCGTATAGATTATTTCTGGTATAAGCTAACAAATTAAAATCCTTCCAAAGAAACTTGAAAAAGGAAAATGCTATCTTATAATCCTCAAAGTGTAAAAATTATACATTTTTATATTTTAAAATAAATTTATTTTTTGGTAACTGTTCAAATCCATTCTCTAAATCTATATTTATTGAGTTTGTTAGAATCTTATCCTTACACCCTAAGAGTCAAGTCATATCCTTCCCTTTTGTTTTCAATTTGAACCAATCTTTACTCTTGGTTCTTTACTAAACCCATGGTAATATGTAAACATATAGTGAAGTTCCCTTTTGGAGTAATCTATTTAAATTCTACCACTTGAATTTTTTTTAATTTTATAATTTTAATTTGGTTTAACATTTGATTGACATGGCACTTTACTCCTTTTTGGAGTAACAACATAGCCCAAAACATTAGGAAAGTTATAACATATATAACCTACTTTATGCCTAAAAGGTGTAAAGGATAGGATCCTAATAAAGTTCCCATTAAAAAGTGTTAACTTGAATAGTTTTTGGAAAAGAGTTTCTCAAAAAGTTCCATTCATCTCCTTTTTATGTAAAATTTGAAAATTTTCAAGAGTTACAAACATATGTGGAAGGTTTTTTTTTGGTATGGTCATGTGTGGAATAGGTAATATAAATAATACAATGACTAAATAAATACTTAATTCAACACTTAAATCCATTAATTCGAAACAATCATCAAGAAATGGATTTACACCATGAAAGCTCAGGTACAATCACATTATATAACTATCAAATACAATATCATGGTAGTAGTGTCCCACTATTGTTATGTAATATAATAACTCAAAATATAAATGTGAAAGTAGTTATATAAAGAGTCAAATTTTGTATATGGCACTATTATTAAAATAAATTATTAGAAAATATTTTATTTTTAAAATGTAGATGTAATTTAGTACCCTAATAAGTATTAATTTTAATAGTTTTAAAACTACTAAAAAATGAGAAACTTGTAATATATTCATATATAAAGGAAGTTATCTTGTCAAATAATTTGTATTACTCAAAAATGTTTATTAGTCTTCAAAAAAAGCAAATCTGAAATTATATAAGTAAATAAAAGTACATATTTACATATATGTTTTATATTTATTATATATATTTCAAAATATTTATTAAGGAATATCCTGAAAGTGTTGCTTTGGAGCCAATTTAAATAATCATTGAAATACCTAAATTAATGGTGGCGAGAACTTCTTTTTGCAAAAATCTCAAAACAGTGCTCTGAAAAATAAAAGTACAATGGCGTATCCACTAAGTATCTCCATTCTGAATGGTTCGCTAAGCAGACGCCACGTGGGACGCGGCGACGAAGAAAAAGGGAGGTGCCACGTAATACGCAAAGCCACCGTTTATTTTCAAGGGCCTGGATCTCGAAGAACCCTACCACTTTAGGGCTAGCACTAGGGTTTAAGGGAGAAATGGGGTGAAAGGAGCGACAGGGCGAGATAGTGGTGATGGATGCGATTCAATGGGGCCCGGAAGAAATCGCGCTCTTCAGCAGCAAATACTACGCGGCGTGCTTCGCCGGAGGATTGCTCTCGGCGGGGACGACGCATTTTCTCGTCACTCCATTCGACAATCTCAAAGTAAACATGCAGGTATGGCGGCAGATCGATCAAAGAATCGTCCTTTGGCTGTAGAATGTAGAGATTCACCGGGAGTTTTCTCCTTTCCCCATTCTTCCAGGTCCATCCAGCGAAGTATAGCGGAGGAATTCTCTCTGGGTTTGGCGTCTTGTGGAAGGAACGCGGTCCTACTGGGCTTTGGAGAGGCTGGGGAGGGAAGCTCTATGGCTATGGAGCTCAAGGAGCTTGCAAGTTTAGTCTCTACGAGTTTTTCAAGCATCGCTACTGCGATGCCGCTGGCCCCGAGAACTCGGCCACGTATCGGACGCCAATCTACTTCGCCGCCAGCGCCTGCGCACAGATGATCGCCGACGTTGTTCTCTGCCCCTTCGAATCGATCAAAGTTCGTCTCCAAGCGCAGCCGGGCTTTGCCAAAGGATTGATCGATGGATTTCCAAAGGTCTACTCGGCCGAGAGGCTTCCAGGGTGGGCTCTCTTTCTAGTTTTCTTTTCTCTTCCAGGACTTAGTATCAACAGTGTTTTTCCAGGCTTTACAGAGGACTCTTGCCATTGTGGAGTCGAAACATTCCATGTAAGCAGATGTAAAGTTTCTACGCAGAACTCACGCAAACAGTTGGTCACTTTTTTCGTTTCTCTCGCAGTTGCCATGCTCATGTTCACGTCTTTCGAGCACTCGGTCGATTTCATCTACCGTAACGTCGTGAAAAAGCCCAGGAGCGAATGCTCTACGACGACTACGTTGCTCGTCACCTGTGGAGCGGCTTACATTTCGGGGATCACCGGCACAGTCGTGTCGAATCCAGCTGACAACGTAATAAGCTCTTTGTATAACAAGGGAGGGACTGTTGTGCAAGTAAGCCTCATCCATCCCTGTTCATCGTTTCGTCGTGTCCTTGTCTCCTGGTTCTTAATCGTCTTCTCCTCGTTTTTTATGGATGCTTTCCAGGCGATCAAGAGAATTGGTCTGGTGGGGCTGTTCACGAGAAGCTTACCGCTTCGCATCGCGCTCGTGGGTCCTGTTGTCACAATGCAGTGGTTCATCTATGATTCCGTGAAGGTCTCCATTGGTTTGTAAGTGATCCTCCACTCTCTTACGTCCATTTTTTTCCTCTCTCTCTCTCTCTCTCGGACGAGCTTAACAAAAAAAATTTCTCTTCTTTTGCTTGGACAGGCCAACCAGTGGAGGAACTTACGTCGAGGAGGAATCTTCGGCATCATGATTCACAGAGGTATGTTGCTTGTTGACGCATGGAGGGGTCGATAGTGATGATAGCTAGTCAAGAGAGAAAATAACGCATAATCATTCTTTCTTCTGTACATATTTTTGTGACGCATCGCCAGAGAAATTCAGTGCAGCAGTCCATCTGTCGATCCGTCTGACGCCGTGCTTAAGATTTGAGAGATGCATTAGGAATTTAAGCAGTAGCGATCCTCTGGCTCGTTTTTTTCACTTGTTTAATCGAGTCACAGGTGCAATGTACTCGAAAAGAGAGAGTTATATCATACTAGCATCATGAAGCTCGCATTTGACTTTGAGTTTTTTTTTACCTCTCTCTCTCTCTTTCTCGCTCTCTCTTTTCTCCTCAATCTGACTAGTTCGATCCCATCACCGATACCAAATGTTGATGCAGTGAGTTTTTTAGTCCCGAGTTCTCGAAGCCCATGAAAAATGAGAAAGTAAACACGTAAGGTTGTTGTGGGGTATTAGTTTGTCTGTTTTTTTTTTCGCTTCTACAGTGGTAGAGAACCACAAGCCTGCCTGGGACAATCGTTTTTCAATTGACGAAGAAGATGATGAGACAATTGCATTGTTTGTGTTTTCTAGTACATAGTTACGAGTCGCTGGTTACAAGGCGAGTGTGGATTTTCTTTCAGTTTCCTCGTCTCAATGCACATAGCTTAATAGACTAGATTTTCTTTTTCTAGCAGCAGCCAAAACAACAAAAAAACTTTGACAAGCTCTCATCAAGGATGACATTGTCAGCAAGATCGAGTTCCTTGTCTACGAGTGCTTCACTAGCTTGTTCTTTCTTGCTCTCCCAAAACTCGGCCTATAATCGTCCATGGCTTCATGCCGCCATGGAAAAACACGGAGACGACGAACGAGAAGAAGTGGTTTGTGTCCGGACAAGGACGAAAGTTTCGTTACCCGTGTTTTGCGTGTCCATGATCTGTTGACCCTCCTCCTCGTAGGTAATACAAACAGTATAGAGAAAAATGTATAAATACGGATGTCGCTTGTTTGAGGGTGGTGCGGGCTTTTGTTTAAGGGGCCGAGATGAATGTCTTTTTTTTTACGCTGGGTCCATGTGAAGCGATGGATCCAACTCAATAATGTTAAGTCGAGCGATCTATATCTCGGCATTTGGGGCTGCGATTGCGAAGTTTGAGCTCCCGGAGGGGGATTTGGATTTGTCGCCGGAATGTTGAGCGTGATATTGGTTGGATCTTGGATGGACAAGATCTCATCGCTTTTAACTTGGTGAATAAGAGGGAAAACGAGGATTGATGGAAGGGTGGTGAGACATCGCAATCGAGGTCGAGATTAAAGAAAAGAGAGAAGGTTTTTGCAAGAGATCCAATCCAAGAGCTTGGGGGAGGGGGTGTCGATCCGACGGCCCAGATCTCGCCGGGACACAAGTGGCGGAGGATAACTGGTCCCCACGCTACACGTCAGCGTAGCCGCAAGGGGACGAAAGCCGCGCGCGTTGCGAGCTTTGTCGCCGTGTGGCGGACTGGGACCCAAATGCGGGGCGTGGCTGGGCCGTCGGATCTGCATGGGGGGATCGCGGCCGTCCGCTCCGGCCTTGATTGGATCGTCAAGAATGTCAGGAATCCATGGCCTCCGTGTTGCTCGCGGCCGTAACACAACGCGTAAATCGTATGTCGGTATGGGGCCCAAAAGGGATGCAAAAAATTAGATAAACTTTTTGATATCATATGGAATATTTTAAGGAAATAAAGACGCTTTTTATGGGGGCGTCTTTTTTGTCAACACACAACAGAAGCTTTGGATATGTCCCGAGCCGCACCTTATAAAAGCTGCGCGGCCTTGGAGAAGAAAGAAACTACGTAGGATCAAAGATTCCGGCTTTTGTTTTGTTGCTTTGTTTGAGCATGTAATGTAATGCAGGGGAGCGGTGGATCGATCCATCCAATTTATTGTTTTTCTTTTGGGTGTGTATAGTTTTTATATTTGAACAATCCTAGGGTCTTTTTCTTTCATCCTAGACGACACATTTTCATCCCATCCCGTGTCGGCACTCGTAATTTGGTTGTAGGGATTCGAACAAGAGTCAGATATGCTTTGGCGGTTTGCTTGGCATTTGCAGCATCGCAAGGATTTAATCAGAAAAGAAGTTTGTGCTCTGATGAAACTCAAACTCGATCCGAGATCACGATGAAAAGCGAGTAAAAAGCCCGGGGGAGAGAAAGGGTCGAGGAGATCCCAATCAATCAATCACCCATCAATCAATCAATCACTCGCTCCATCATATGGAATTCCTCTATCAAATGCATGGGCTTGTCCGGAGTTACACGCAGCCCCATGAGAAGGTTGCCCGCGTTTGGCAACTTAACCAACTTGTAGACAACATTTATGCTCTCTATATTCCTCGGAATCTTTTAATATATTTTCGAGGTCGGGTCATGGGAATGCGTGCCCCGCCCGATCGCCCGCTCGTCCCCCGTCCCCGGATTTGTGTGCTTGTGTGTTTTCTTCCCCCTGCGATGGATTGTTGTTTTGCGAGAGGGCAGCGCGAAATTGGGGATTTGTTTCCTGTCATTGAATGCAAGTGCAAACACAGATGGACATGAAAAAGTATTCGTCTTTCTTACCTTTCAGATAGATAGATATGGATGGAAGGGAATATCTCACCCGAATATATATGTATGAATAAATTACTATAATGCCCGCGAATTCAGCAATCGCTCGCGGGTCAAAATGGCGTTTGTCAACCGTTTTTAAATCCCCACCTTTGTGATCTTTTAAGCTCGGGACTTGACCCCCCGTTTTTCTTTTTTCACCTCTTTTCTTGGAGAGATTTTCTAGTTTTCCTGATTTTGGTTTTTGGGTTTTTGAGAGGGTGCAGCACCACACACCCGTTGTTTCGTTTGTTTGTAGCCAAAGGAAGGAGACAAACGCTGTGGGGCTCCAAAGCTTTTGTCACAAATGGCTGCTCCTTTACGTTGCACGAGAGAAGAATGACTCTCTGTAACCTGGGGTGCCATCTTGATTCAGAGACCTTCTCATTGATCAAGCTGTAACATACAGCGAAGAAACTTCGATCACCACGAGAGCGAACTCTCGTGAAAGTTCCACCAGAGAGTTCCTTATAAAACAGCAGTGTGAAAAGAAAGATATACAAAGATCCCCTTAACTCAGGCACACACGTGAACTTGGCCCCGCCGTACCGGTTCTTTTCCAGTCACAGTTACGTAACGCGGAGAGAAAACGTACGAAGAACTAAGTACTTGGGTTAGGCATCGCTCGCGGCATTAAATGATTAAACCCCCGCAAACATTCACACATGTACGGAGAGACAAGCGGAATGCAAACGTGCGTACAGGCCACGTCATCTCTTTTGGCCTTTATTACCTTTTTTTAATACTTTTTTCTTGTATATATATATATCAACCTGACCTGCACTGCATGAGTAAGTTGCAGCCATGGAGCTGTTGTTATTCTTGTAAGAGAGAAGTTGGCATTTTGTTTGGCAGCCCATATACATCTCTCAAGCCAGAAGGGAGGGTGGCAGTGAAGAAAAGGGCACATTTAGTGAAGTTTTTACAGAAGCAGCTGAAAGTTGGAACAGCAACAGGAGGGGTCCTGCAACAAAAAAGTATCACCACCTCTGCATATGACCACAACACACATACATCAGACTCACTCCCTAACTCCTCTCTGCTCTGTGTTGCATTCAATATGAAAAATGCACCACCCTCTTTTCCAGCCCAGCCCAGCCCAGCCCAGCAAGTTGCAAATGAGAAAACAGAAAAAGAAAGAAGTTTTTGTTTAAATAATAAGATCATGAAGGAAGGAAACCCTCCTGTGAAGCTTTCATGTCCCTGTGCATTCCACAACTTTCAAGTACGGTGCGCTGGGGATGCATACGTATATAGCTACGTGCATGTCACCACTGTAGTGGTACAGCAATCCATGATACGGACGGTCTCGCACAGCAGCATTACCTGTTATATTCCCAACAGGGGCCCATTCCCTCCCGAGGGATGTTTGCAAACAAACAGGAGAGCTGGATGCCAATGGACGACCAACTTCATAACATTTGTTTTCTCATTATATTTGGTGTTCACGTTGTTGTCTCCAATTTTATATCCATATTGCGATCTCAGCTCGATCAAACTGCAAAAGTCGATATCCTAGGTAGAAACCATGACTTTGGAGTCCTGGTCATTTTTTTTGCATAACCTAGAGTTAGGAGTAGAGTCGGGACCACCCAATACACAAGAATGCGTCCCTGTGATCTTCCGGATTGTACACTTCAAAAGCGCGAGATCGATTCAAAATCTTGACCCTAGACTCGTATGCAAATGGTTTGCACTGTACAACACATGACCAGAAATTCCAATTCACGGCAAGAGCCGCGTCAGCACGCCAGCTCGCTGACGTGTCATGGCCAGCGATGGGGCCATGCAAAGCCATCCCCGACACCCAGGCGTCTTTGCCACGTTCGTGGATGTCGGCATCGCGCGGGCCATGGCACACGTCACCATGCCACGCTGGCCAGGCCAGCTACCCACCACCAAACGCATACCACTTCCTCACAAAAATTCATAACATTTTGAGGCGCGTATAAGCTATGACAGCAAATATTTTCCTTGATTTTACTACCCATTGCTATGCCTCTTCGCGTGGCATATTCGCATTTGCCTGGGCCCTTGCGAGAAAAGAAAGGGGGGAATCTTCTCACCAAGAAAACGCCAGCAGCTTGTGTCCAACAGAAAGCCTCCAACGCAAGGAACGGCTCCTCGTTAGATACCTGACTATGGAAAGGACTTTTTTTTAGAGAAAAAGGATGGAGGGCAAATTGTTTTGGCCGTAGAAACACGTCTTCTTGGGTGGTGGTGGTGGTGGTGGTAGTGTGTAGTCTACTCTCTTTCTTCCAGTGAATCAAGAGTTTTTTTCTAGGATTTCTTTTGGCCCCCGCAGTCGCAGCATCGATCAGATTGTTGGCCAGTCGTCCAGCCATGTTGCTGCTCATGACCCACGAAAATCAATTCCAAAATCATAAGCTGACCGGGCCCGGAACTCAATGGAAACTTTTAAACCATGATTAAACTAGTGCTCTAATGATACTAGTTGCTTAACTTTTATAGTTTTGCCATGCGTACATAACTATAATGCCACGATCTCGTCACCAAACATAGCTCCAAAGAAGGGGAATGTGTGCATTTTCACGTCCCAACACCGGAGGGGCTGGGATCAATCAATTCTTCTGGTGTTTTGCGGAGGGACAAAAACAAACAAACTAGGGATACAAGCGAAAAATCTCAAGAATGTTGGCTAGTGTTATTAGTATATATACTTGTGGCGCAAGCGAACAAGGGAAAGGGAGGCCTTTGTTTTGGAAGGATTTGTATGGAGCCGCACATTAC